ACAGTTTTTTATCACATAGGTTACATTTACACACTGCTTCTCCACAAGTATGTATACATTATTCTTTGAAAATATTATTTATTATTCTTCCCTACACATTATTATTTATGCAAATATATAAATATGATTATGCATTTTTTCTCTCAATATTTATGCATTATTATGCATTATTTATTGAATTTTATAAAAATATTATTTATGCATTATTCATAACCTAAAAGCTGTATCAGTGTTTTATAAACTAAATCACTTGAGCCAAGTTCAAATCTTTGCTTAGCCATTACACTCTATTTCTTTATCTGTCATTCTTCCCATTTAAATGCTATCTTGAATTCCTTGGGCAACAAACTAATAAATATACACATACATATATACGTATGTACACCTTAATCAATCTAGATATTCTAGATATTTTCTACAGCAAGTAGGAATTTTGCTGTGTGGAAAGCAGCTATAAAGTGAAGCATTTTAAGTCTGTTTTGACGTGAAAGTCTCTCAAGTGAATTTACATAAAGAGTCTGATGCATGTTAGAATGTCATTCAAACTAGTCACTATAAAGCAACTTATCATTGAAATGCATCTAAGACCTCCTTTTGAAATAATGTGGAGAAAAGATCTAGATAATGGAGTGGCATTTTAAAAAACAGCACCTTCTCAGAAAAGATTAGCTGACATTGCTGGCATAATACTACAGAGAGTCTCTAGCTTTGGGTGGGAGATACAACATTATAGTTGACTTAGAGCATTTTTTTCTCAGTTGAAGAGGAAGAGTATTTCCTTTTTTATGGGGAACTGTAGATTATCTGTTTCTGAAAAGGAGAAGACAATACAGAAACTTCAAATTAATCATGTCTTCTAATCAAGAAATGCCACCATGCCAGGCCTAGCAACACATTGCCTGCTGGCCTATGAGGATTAATTAAATTACAATCAGACATTTTAATGGAAGGACATTGGAGACTGTTGTCTTGGCAACAGTTTTAAACAGCTGGTTTAATGATAGGTGGAGAAAGGGGCTGCTGAAAGACTTAGGCTTAGGGACAGAGTTGTCTGCTTCCCCACAAATAGTAAAGTAGAATAGTAATACGGGCCTTTTCAAATGACTTTAAGCTTGCTTTGTCTGTCAAGCACCATGAAACCCTTTCTCTCTTTTTGGATGTAAGCAGCATTTTTAATACAATACTACATGTATTATTTCTATTCATTTAAGACAGGAAATTAGTTCTATTAATGTTCTGATTTTCCTTCTTATACATTTCTCTTCTGTGCTTTGGTATTTGTTTTTGATGATGAAAATAGAGTTTAAAATAAGTAATTCCTTTTCTGGAGATTCAGCCTACACTAAACATTCCTTTTCATATATCAGCCTTAACACAACTATCAGAAACCGAATCACTGAGCACCAAGATGGGATGATGAGTAACAACTGGGCATGAGACTGAAGCCGACAGATACTTTGTGAGGAGCAGCCCTTCATGAGCAATGGCTTAGTTTCCACTCCCATCTTACTTGCATGGTAGTGCATCCATATGCTTTGAAGCTTTCCTGCATAACAATGTTCTGCTCAGCAAGTAAGAGAATCCCTGCCAGTGAGTACCACTGAGACATCAGATGGCTTCACGGAACTTGGATTCCCCAACCTGATGGTTACAATATTTGCAATGTGATGCTATGTAAACATCTCTTTGTAATAAACTAATATTCAAATATGTAATTCCTGTTAGAGAAAATGCAGTGTAAAGTGTTTGTTTCTCCTCTCCTCTTCCCCAAGGCCATCAATTATTAACATTTGAAAAGAGAGCCAGAAGATGCTCATGCCGTGGGGTGGGATACTAGAGAGTTTTTCTCTTGCAAGTGAGATTTGTAAGATCAAACCTGAAATATCACCAGTCTGAACAGACCAAGAGACTTTCATAAGAAAGTAGCCAAATAGTCAATAGTGTATGTGCTGAAATCTGAGTTTTCTTTCCTCCAAAGAGCAAATTTTAGGAGTGAGGGAATTGGAGATGTGCATAAAAATGCAATAACATTAAAACAAAAATTATAGATGCTAAATCAGATATTTTGACCTTGTTATCTAAGGCAGAAGAATTCAAATGACAATATTATTGAAGATAAAAATGTAATAACAAGCAAGACTATTCAGAATGAAAGGTATCAAGTAATCTGACCTACGATTCATTCCCAAAGGGGGCATCAGATTTAAACATCTGCTTTTTTTTCTCCCTAAAAGCAAGCAAACAAATAAGCATTAAACTTATGTTTCACTTATGCTGGGGGTACTTTTGTCCTTTATTTTATTTTCAAGTACTGTCATCTCTTATTTTTATTATGGCTAGAGGTCTCAAAAGCTGGAAGTGGTCCAAGCCTCTATAGATTGCTGATAGGGCCTGATAATAAACTAAATCCTTCACTGGTCACATATCCTACTTTACAGAAGATACTTCCTATGAAAAAAAATGTATAGAAATGTAAATATTAACACCTGCCATTTGTGTAAACCTGATGGTCCTCTTTTTCATCATGATTTTCTCCTTTTTTAGGTGATTATAAATGACCACCCCAGACATCCATCTGGCATCCTAGGGAGAGCCAGGTTTTTGTTTCATTAAAATAATGAAATAGATATTTCTGCTACCTTGTCATTATTTAAGCTTCCGGTTATTATTATTCTTAAACTTCAGTTATATTGCCAACTTGGGTATGAGAACTGCTGTGATATTTGTTTATATTTTGTATAACTGGTTCAAGTCTTATGTAACTATATACCTATATAGTTGAATATGAATATATACAGTGGTACCTCTAGTTACGAACGCCCCTCCTTACCAATTTTTCAAGATACAACCAGCTCCGGCCCCAAAAATTTACCTCTACTTGCGAACTCCGCCTCTACTTACGAACCGGATCCGCGGCCATTTTCCCTGCTGCCACGCGGTCGTGGCTTCCTGTGGGCGAGATCGCGGTAGCAAGGAGACGTTCGGTGAGGCTTGTGGTGTGTTTTGTGGCGT